ACAACCACACCCTCGCGCCAAATTTATATAAACTGTAGCTCAAGCAATTTGAAAAGAAAGTTTTGAAAAGGAATTTGAAATTTCATGGTCAAAACGTGTTTCCAGTAAAAAGCAAGTGTTGCAACTAGAACCAGGGCAATGAGAGCATCACAATGATATCAAAGTTTTGAAGAATTGGTGAAGGAATCTACCTATTGAAGTTGAGATGCAGAGCTCTGAAACTGGACTTCTATGGAGCAATATAGGGCATGATTCTTGAATGTAATTATATGGTTAGCTTCAGGGAAGATCAAGGAAGGTGGATTGATGAAAAAATTGGATCGAAAAAGGCTTGTATATGAATTACGAAGTTGCTGAATTCTGAGTTATGGAACAAGTTTGGCAGGGTGATTCTGGCTATCCAAGCTTGAGAAAATGAATGGGATAGTTCATGTATTTATAGGAGAAATAAATGGGATCAAAAGGAAGAGTGAATGATGCATTTTAGAGGGAATTCGTGCAAACTTGATGCACGAGTGAAGTGTGATATAATTTTCACCAAAACTCATCCAATCTTTGCGTTTTGAGGTGCTAAACACTTTTGGAAAGTTTGTTAATCAAGTTTAAATCAAAAACTGCGTGTAAATCTTGTGATTAGAAGCCAAAACAAAGATTTCAAACTTCTGACTTGGTGAAAAATTCATTTTCAAAGTGCCAACTTCTAACCAATGGCATTTTCAGCTCAAGGGGTCTTAGGGCATGATTCTTGATGCTTCAGAAAGATGAGGTTACAAGCTTTGCAATGGAAAAAGAATGGAATCAAATGGATGCTTGGGCTGAAAGTTGTGTTAAGTCAAAGTTGGAGAAAAAATGTTGATTTTCCATACTTAGAAATATTTCAAATTCTTCTTCAAAAGTGACCTATAATGTCTTGCATCCAAACATAGCTTTCTACTTGGAATTTTCTCTTGACCAAAAAAGATGTCATGAATTAGATCTCTTGAATGACATTTTGGAACTTGAACCATTCAAAATCTCCAAATATTGAGAGAGTTATGAATTGTTGAAGTGGGCAAAAAATCATGAAATAACCTATAATCTTTTGTATACTTAAGGTAATTTCCATTCATTTTCTCACTTTGCACATAAAATAAGGCATAAAGTTCACATCTTCAAGATCATTATGGAAAAAGAATGGGCTCAAGGTGATAAAAATTGACCAAGTTATGATCATTTGAAGTCACACATGGAAAAATGGGGATTCATCTGGAGGACTTGTAGTAGATAGTTACCAACCCTTTGAAGAGAAGGATGCCTTTGGAATCACTCAAAAATACCAAAAGATGAGCAAAATATGCTTCTTTGAAGTTCAAAACCCTAGCTCCTAGATCAAGAAACATGATTTGAGGAACTTTGATAATTTTGAACAAACTTCTTGTACCAAAACAAATGCTTTGTAAATATAAGTTGTTGGGGATGATAATGAGAACTCATAGCAACCACGACCACTTCTATATCTTGAGAATTGAGAGAAATATGCACTTGTGATCAATGGGAACAAGGCCTTGTCCAATCATGATAACTCCTTCAATCAACCCCTTGTACTTTTGAATCAATCTTGATAATTTGGAAATGTAGTGAACCAAAATAACCTTGCCATGTCATCCCTTCCAAAACAACTTCCATGGCGAGGTTTGAACTTCTCAAGCTTCATTGACTAGGTCATGGAAATAAACTCATGAACCCACGGATCAACTTGCTAAGCCTCATTGCCTGTACCTGCATTGTTGAAAAGTAAGACAAACCAACATTGCATTTTATTAATTAAAAGGAAAGTCAAAACAAAAACATGAATGATTACACAAGAAAATCAAGTCAAGGTGTTTGGTGATTCCTCAAAGAGCAAAGCTAAAGATAGGAAGGAGAACCAAAAGCCCTAATATGATCTTGTTGTGATTGAATCAATATAGTATATTAAGAGGATCTTAGGGGTAAAAATTGAGGTACAATAATACTCACCCATAAAATAGTTGTTTATAGTACACTCTTAGATTCAATAATAGATTTGTAAAACTCAACCATAAAATATGTGTTAAAAAATTAAATAGTCAAAATTAAAAACATTAATAAGATATATATTGGACAACCAACAATATTGCTCATGTTTTAAACTATCTAAATAAAAAAAGATATATGAAATCTAAAAAATGAGAATAATTAATTATGGAGTAGCTTAAAGATGAATGAAGCAAAAAATAAAATAAGATAGAAGTGAAACTTCATAAGTTTTCTTAATGGAGAAGACACACCAAGTCTAGCTTTCTAATTGGTCGAACAACATCATCGATTGGATTTTTATTATGCAATAAAAAGACGAAAAAACCAAACCAGCAAAACGAAGCAAAAGCAAAGAAAAGAAACTGAAAAACAGTGAAAACAATCACACTGTAGTTCACCCGCCTCTACACAACCATTTCCATCTTCGTCAAACCCAAACCCCAACTTCCGCCACCGATCCCGGAAGCAATCGCCACCGCCTTAAGGCGACTCCACTCTCCGACCACCGGTAACTCCTCTCTCTCACGCACACAAAATCACCGTGCACAAACTTTTCTGTGAATTGGATCCCGTTTCCTTCCATTTTCGAATCTACGATACGATGTGAGATCCAATAATGCTTCTATCTTCTTCGCATGAATTTTTCTGATCAATTTCTGCTTTGATTTTGAAAGACTTTAAAATCATCGTCATTGTTATATATATAGCAAGAATTTGTTGCACGAACGAGTTCCGCATGCGTTTTCGCCTCAGACTAGCATAGATGATATTGATATGTAAATCTGTGGCGTGCATTTACTTGTTTGTGCTCTCAACCATTCTTATTTGCTAGAAATTGGTTAATCTGAATGAGTCAATGGAAAGAAAAGAAAATCTTCATTCCGAAGCAATAAGATATAGTGTAATTAACCTAAGCATGGACACTCCAAACACGAAACTGACACTTACACGGCGACACCGGTAATACTTTCAAAAAATTAATAAATTAAAGGAAATAACAAGTATCTGTGTAGGTGCTTTTCAAAGGCGTCGGTGCTACATACTAAGTATCCTTGTAGTTTCTTAGATGTAGTTGGAACAGTTTTATAGTTGCTTTCTGTACTCTGAAGTTCTAATTTATTTGGGTTTGGGAAATAAATGTATTTTAGGGTGCTTGAGGTTTTTTTAAGGGAATAGATGTGAGTTTTTGAACCTGCGAGGTTATAATTGCAGTAATTTGCTTTGAGATTGAACTATTATGATGATTGGTGCTTGTTTCCGACTTTCCATATTTTCATTTCATCTATTGCATTTTGTGACATAATGGAAATTTTTGAAGGGAAGTATATTACCTAATTTGTTATGTTTTGATCAATTTGGAATCAATAGGAAAACTTACAGATATGTTTTAACTAGTGGGATCTGAATAGATTTTTCATACCTCTGTGTTGTTTCTTCTGAAATTTTTTTTATCTCATTTACTCTGGTTAAGATGTTGCAGTATTTAATCTCTTAAAATATATTAACTAACTTTGTTTCTTTGATTATTTGTTCCAGTGAAAGCAAGCCTTTGAACATTTGAATTGTTGGTTTAAAATGGTTTCGTTTGAGATGAATGATCGCAAGAGTAAGTTAGATCTGCTTTACTTATGTTTTTTTTAATACTAGCAACAATATTATCATATGATTTTCTCTTCTATGTTATCTCATGTGCTCATATGTTAGGGTAGATTATTTTATTAGAGAATTTACAATTGCTCCTAAAATAAATTATTTGCAAATTCAATTTTGACGGGCCTTGTTTTTGAACATTCATGGTTTGCGTCTACTTGTTCTATCTGTAAATGTATTCATAATTTTAATATATGTGTTTGCAATTGAAACATGAAACAGAGATTGGACTGGGATTAACAGGCTTTGGTATATTTTTCTCATTCATTGGCGTTATTTTTTTCTTTGACAAGGGTTTGCTAGCAATGGGAAATGTAAGTTTCGTGTTATGACAATGGATAAGTTTCTTGCTTAACTTTTTATCTTCTGCTTGTGTGATTTCGTTTAATAAGAACTTCTATAATGTTCTTTGTTTTGTCTCTCAAATCAGATTCTCTTTGTTTCTGGAGTATCTCTGACCATTGGACTGAAATCCACCATGCAATTCTTCATGAAACGTAGTAATTTCAAGGTAAATGAGTTATTCGCTTACCGCCTCTTTTGTTTTGCGTTCCATCTGGTCTGTTTTTTATTCATGTTAAATTTTCCGCTTCAACTTGTCATTTTGTGGTTGTGTAGGGGACAGTTTCATTTGGTGTAGGATTCTTGATTCTCATACTGGGATGGCCTATTTTGGGCATGATTGTGGAATCTTACGGGTTCCTCGTGCTTTTCAGGTTTTGTTGAAATTTAACAATTATTTTATCAAGTATTTACATACCTAAAGGCTAATATGGTGGGATTATATTTTGCAGTGGCTTCTGGCCTACACTCTCCGTTTTCTTGCAGAAGATTCCTGTTCTTGGTTGGATTGTTCAACAGCCATATATTCGATCAGTAAGCAATTCAGCTAAATTGTCTTGTTATCTTGCATACAAGTATTTGGACATGCATTTTATTATTGCTATTCATGTAATATTTTACATTTATGACAGTATGCATGTTACCATATAATTAGTGATGTTCATAGAAGTAAGAATCTATAGCAACTGACACTGATTGTCACGGATCTTATTTTTCATTGGTACAATGTCTTAAAAAGTAGTTAGTTCATTTTGTCAGTCCAGGGATCATTGAATGACTGAAGTATCTCAATATGGAGATATTTTTTTCAGCTTTTTGCTAGATGTTGATTTCTCTATGCATTCATTGGTAACATGCTGAATTATCTACTGAGCATATTTTCTCAACATGCAGTTGTTTGACCGCTATAAAGGCAAACGAGTTCCTGTGTAACACCTGGATCTATGGAAACATTACGTAGCTGCTCGCGAATGCCTATGTAAGTCTATGTAAAGAAATCACTTGATACAGAGACCTCGCTCCAAATCGCTTTCTCATTTTGATGGTAGAAAATTGTCATGATAGTCCTCTTAATCAAAAGGTGGAAAAGAAAAGGTTTTGGTTTTCATTTTGCAACTCTTTGCGTAGTCCCTTTTCAACTCTCATTTGTCGTCGAACACTGAGTTGTCAGTTCTGCAAGTTCTCCTACATTACTATTCTAATCAGTGACACCTTTCAAAATGATCTGTTCCCGGGACATTAGAGTGGCATTTATTTTCTATTTGTCAAGGAATATAACAATTTAAAACGATTTAGCTAATGGAATTAGTGCAGCACTATAGGACTTTATTTTTTAAATCTTTTGAAATGTACTCTTCAGGTGTGAGTTGGAATTGTTTGTGACATTAAATTCTTTGAAATATATATCGCCCTATTGATTCATCTATTAGATTCTATGCTTAATTTAGGAACTGTAATTACTCGTTTACAAATGTGAGGTATGTATGTTTTGATTAGAAATTGGTTGAGATTCCATACTTGTTGCTTTAAAGTAAAATAAAGCTGTTACACATGAAGTCCTTGTTAAGTTGACAAGATGTCAATTACGGATTGGTAGTTCCCAGCTGAAAGTTGCATCCTAGTTCTTTCAGTCAATTATCAATGAAATCCACTCATTCCGGAGCCCATCCTGAACGAAATTTAGCGTAGTTTTCTTGAATAAATTTCAACTTAAAATAAATATAGGTTTGAGTGACAACATCTCCCCTATATCAACTAATAATGTAATTTGCACTAATCCGAACCATGGACCAGCAGTCAAACAAAATATTAACACTTAATTGCAATTAACTTAAAATAATTTAATCAATTTCTAAGTACTCAATTCCCTTCTCGTAACCAGGTAGGCTTCTCCCTTCAACATATTCACTTCTTTGAAGTATTGGACTGGTGTTTGTTTTGTTCTGATTTTTGGATGGGAAATTGGTGGTATGAGCTTGCGGTGTTCAGCCGAAAAGTTTGAAAGAGAGGAAGGGATTTGGTTTTATCAAAGATTTTAAGTCTTGACCAATTGGGAATGGTGAAAAGGGCAGTTTTTTTACGAAATGTAGTGAATGGTTCATTATCTCTCTTGCATATAGAAATTTATCATATGGTGAAATTACTTGAGATTGTGTTGCCTTAAATTTTTTGACATAAGTATAAAATAAGGCTTAAGGGTCATATTCCTAAAAGTTGAATTATAAGTTGAATTATGGTTGTTTTTAGGTGAGTAGAAAAGGGTTCGGTTGACCTTGTAGATCAGTAAATATAAATTTCTCCGTCCAGCGGCCATATAAGAAGTGTATGATTTTGGTCGAATTCTTTTATTAGGGAAACCAGGGTCATGCAGCTCTAAAAGATTTAATAAAATTTTAGTTTTCTTTGATTTGAAGCATAGTCGAAGCAGATTTAAAATGGATAAAGGCAGACATTTTTTCAAGGATAAGACAACCAATTTTTTCAAAGACAGATTTTCAAAGACAAGACAGCCAATTTTTTCAAGGACATGTGGAAGCTTGTAGGACAAAATTTGCATGGATTGAAAACGTGACATCGTATGCTACAAAATTTGCATGGAATGGATTGGGAACGTGACATCTTATGCTTAGTTGACTGTTGTAGACAGTTATTTTAGGATTTCTATATAAACAATATTTATTTTTAGTTTTAGGATCTGCATTTGTTACATTGCTATAGAAATTCAAAGTATACATGTCTAAGTGAAAAACAAGTGATTTTTGGAAAATATATGTATGTGTTCTGGTTTATGAATTCCAACCAATTTATTTTTCATGTTAATATAGTTCTCTTTTCAAGTCTTTTCCCTTTAATCATTTTTACTTTTGCACTTTGAGTCTTTCTTTTAATTTATTTGTTTAGTTCAAAGATTACATTTAATTTACTACAATTCCACATTAAAAATTATCAATAATTTAGTAATATATCCTGGGACTTCCTAGTTAATCCTACAAATAATCTTTAATAAGAAATTAGAGGTTGTTTACCAAAAATTAGGGTAAACAAATTGGCACACTTGGTGGGACTTTGTGTTAATTTTTTTTTTTTGTAGTTCTATTAATTGCTTTGTAATCGTCATTGTGGGTGTTTTTGTTTTTCATATTACTAATGTTGGTTTATGCATGAACTTGAGAAGTGGAAAACAATGGTCTAAAATGTCACGTTTTGACACAAACACTAACATTTTCTAATCCTGCACAAAGCAATGCTCAAAATGTGGATGTCATACCAGTAGGTACCACGACTCAAAGCACAATGGTTTTGTCCCATGTAAGGACGTCAGCTGCCATCGGTTCAACAACAACAGTTTCGTCGACAACGGTACTCCTTGGGTTCACCTTTTAACCCCTCAAGGGCATTGTTCCAGGTGGGGTCGATGCCACCCCTGGATATTATCAATATGGCGCCTCAATTGATGATGGTTGGCCTTCAGACAAACATGTTGACGTATGTTGATAATACGGAAATACCTCCACTGCGACCCTTAATACTAGTAGTCGATCAAGAGAGATAGTCTATATTTCCCAAACGACGCCTTCGTTGAATACGACTTCTATGACGTCTATTAGACAATAAATGGATGAAAGCAATCGCGAAATGGTGAACGCTTTAACACAACAAATTGAGATAATTTTCAATCCCCTGATCAACAATACTAACCAGAGTTATGAAATGCTTGCAAATCAGATGGATAGAATAACTGACTTCTCCGGTTCCCCACAGCTGCAAGAAAGGCTAACTCTCTAAATTTCAAATGTTGGGCCTGTCGAAACCTCTGATAATGGGACGATCTCGGGAAATCAGAGACAAACTCCAAATAAGGATGCCGAAGAGTACATAGGTCAAAATAATCCCATGATAATGGTAGTAAATAAAAATCAAGATGCCAACCAAATTCTTAAGAAAGTCTAACAAAGTAATTATGGGGGCCACCACAATATATAAAACATTGTCGAACAAATTTTAGTTTAAAATGGTCTAAACATAAGTCTCCATATGCCCAATTTCACATCTCTGATGCTGGAATACGTTCGACAAACTGAATTACACGGGGTTGGAAAGTAAAAAAATTTACCAAGTTCGCTGGAGACACAAATGAGTCTGCAATTGAACACGTCGCTAGGTACCAGACCGAGGTTGGTGACATAGCCAATAACAAGAATTTGAAGATAAAATATTTCCCAAACTCACTAATAAAGAATGCTTTTACTTGGTTTACCATATTCCCTCCACTCTCTATGCACAGTTGGAGTCAGTTGGAGAGATTGTTTCATGAACAATTTTTTACGGGTCAGTCGAAAATAAGCCTGAAGGAGTTGGCAAGTGTAATATCCCATATACCCTTAAGTATTCTAAATATTGTTAGTTGAGACAAACTAAGTTCCTAAGTGCTCTATTGGTATCAATTGAGGTCAATAAAATAATTAATAAAATCATATGAGATCGATCTTTATTAAAAGAGATTGATTATTATTAATTAATACCCGAAAGAGCATCTTGATAACATTAGTAATTGATCAATTGCTCTAGTAGAAGAAAAATCCTTTTAAGATACCTTCTTTACTACTTTTTATACCGACCACTCAATTTTATATCTATTTTCTATCTACTTTTTTCACCCATTTGTTACAACCACTAATCTCCTTTTCTTTTATCCAACCACACAATTCCTTTTCATTTATCAGAGAAACATATAGAGAAATATAGAGACTTGGAAAGAGGAAAAGAAAGAAGCGTGAAAGAAAGAGGAAGAAAATGTGAAGAAGTAGCTAAAAGAAGAAAGAAACCATGGAAAATGCTTTTATTGTTGAATACTTATGCAATTATATTCTACATACTTCGTGAGAATATTATGAGTTTATTCACCGTTTCAATCATAAAATGGGAATCGTATCTCCGATTGTTATAAAATTGAAATCATTGAAAAAAGAATGTAATGTATCATCAAGTGACGAGAAGAGAATTCATGAATGGGCCATGGATTGTTTATGTATGTTATAACTCATTGTACTACCATGTGTGTTCTTGTATATGTTATTCTATTATATGTTTTCCATATATGACATATGATATGATATTACGAATGCTATGAATTATTTGAATATGTTGAACATGAGATAACATGATTAAAATTCTATATGATGATAAGTGAAGAAACCTAGGAGTACAACTAAGTGAATGAACTAGAAAGATAATATAGGTTATGATAATGACTTAAATGGTAAAACTTGGATGAGTGGTATCTCGGTGTCTATCATAGCTAAGTATTCACTCGAATAATAAATATACCTTGTATGGAACATGTGGAATGATATGCGAATTGGTAGATGTAGCTACCTAATGAATTGGTGAAAGAGATCGCCTAGTGATTGATGAGAACAATCATGAGTATTTGATGAATCTAATCACGTATTCAGAGTTTTCCCTTGATTGTGCACTTCTCAAGCGAGATGCTTATGTAAAGTAAAAGTTGGGAATTTGGCACCCATGATCCTCACCGCATAAATGGTTTGAGCCCATAGAGGAGGATGTATCATAAGTGGGTTTGAGTCCCATAGATACGTGGACACCAAAATGGGTTCGAGTCCCATACGATGAAAGATACTCAAAGGGGGTTCGAGTCCCATACGTGTGATGGTTCTTAAAAGTGGGTTTGAGTCCCATAGGGGAACCTAGTATCCATAAGAAAGTCGAATTGTACAAACATACATTGTGACCTAAGGCCTTGATGTAGACATAGATCAAAATTGGTGAAATATGTTTATCATATTTGAATAGTGATTGTTTTGAGTGGATGCACTCAAGTGTACATGTTCCCATACAACGTGAGAATTTCCCCATACTTAAGTCTTCTTCCCATTTATATGACTTAAGTTATAAAATTGGATAGAAACCCTATAGATTTAAGTGGATCCATAAGATAGGGAATCCACTAATATTATCATCTCACCCCACTATCAGTGTTGTTTCTTTAAGGTTATTGCAGGTTAAAGGTTCAAGCAGGTATCTGATGATGTTTTGAAGGATCTTGATTTTTGTGATCTTCTGTTGTGGATTCTTGTGCAACTCTAGATGTTGTACTTAGATCTTAGTATTTTGTTTTGAAAATATTGTATCATATGTGCCATATAGATGTATATTTAGTTTATGGACATGTGTATAAAATTGTCAATAGAAATTTATGTTGTATTAGTACCAAATAAATGATGTGTATAATGTATACTCTAGGTGTATATTATACATGGTATTGCAATTGGTATTAGAGCAGGTCGATTCTCGACATAGCCTTGTGTTTCACCAAAAAATTTACCTTCTTGATTTCAATTTTTTTTATGGCTTATGTTTCATCATACATATTCATGCATTGTGACAAGATCAAGGTATTCTTATCTTTCTGGTTTCCTTCAAACTTTGGAATTTTGTTGTATTGGTAATCAATCCAAGATGGATCTCATATCCCCATTCTTCTATTGGTTTAAGATACCAAGACTTCTCAGGCCTCGTGACATCTCAAGTTGATTCTTTGTTTCATTAGAGAGTTAAAAATGGAAAGGGTTTCAAAGTAAATCTCATTCTTCTCTTATCTACTGGCCCGTGTGCATGGTTTCTGATTGCTGAAATGTATGACACCTTTATTGATAAAGTTCTGGAAGCATTATCATTGTGAGTTTTATCTCAATACACGAGGCATCTGAGTTCAAAATATTAGCAATGTTAGGGTTTTGACCCTGGGTATATATTCTCACCAAACTACAAAGCTATTCATCTACCAAGATTTTGAATCTGAAAGTTATTTCCTTGTATTTCTTAGAAGATTAAGGTTTCAATCCCTTATGTTTAGGTATTGACCAGAACTTGTAAAGTTCGACTTTCTTTTGGTACTATGAGTGCAATATCACATTTTTGGCAATTTACCCAGAGCTCTTGAGTTGGTTATTGGAGGAGAGGAGAGGAAAATTTTGAATGTTGGTGGATTCGTTTTTTAGGCGCCAAAGTACGAATTCTATTTTCTATTAGGTTCAAGTTGCCAATATTTCTTATCAATTCCTAAGCAAACATTCAATTGGTTTTCAATCCAAATTTTCCAATACAAATTAATTTTATGGAAAGCTTAAATTCCAATTCAAAGTTCATAAGTCCTACATGGTATCCTAGAACCAAGTTCTTTCAAAATTTCAATAAAGGATGTAAGTTTCGATGTTCAAAACCGTTTCTTCTCATTCATGCTTAAGAATTCAAGGTTACAACAAAGCGTCATTTGTTACAATGCTCCAGAAGCATGATCCTCATGGTGAACCCCTTGGAGCTACTTACACAGGAACGGGCGGACCCTCTTGTCATTGGGCCTAGACTCCCTGCTAATTGCACCCCCCAGAATTGCTGCTTCCAGGCCCATTTTGTTTACTTTCTTTATATTTTTATGTTATTTTGTTATTTATTTTGATTTTTATCAAATAAAAAATAAAAAATACAAAAATATAATCATTTTTTAAACAATAAAACTAAAAATATTATTTAATATTATTAACTATTTTTATTAATTAATTTTATTATTAAATAGATAGTTTATTTTAGTT